CACTCAGTAGCCATGTAGGTTATCAGATCCACTGTGCTGGTATCACAAAGCTTGTGCTCAAGTCTCCTTATTTTACTTAATAAGGGCCCAAAGCCCAAGAGTAGTCATGCTGGTGATTTGGATATGCCAAAGAGAAGCCATAAAGTGATTCCTTTAAGTGAAAAGTTATGTATGTGTAGGAAAAAAACATAGTATATCAGGCATCCACTGGGGGTCTTGGAATGAATCCCTCTTGGATAAGGGGGCAATACTATATGCCTTTAAAAGTAATAGTTTTATGATTTTTTTAGTAAAATTTGGGATTAGAGCAGGATAATTAATAGTGCAAACTTTGGAGTTAAACAGAATAGGTTTTGACCCCCAACACTACCAATTCCTAGTCCTGTGATTTTTTGTGAAGTACTCATCCCTAAGTTCCTTATCAATAAAATAAGAATAATAATATCAGATAATTTGTAGGATTAATGAGTTCATGCATGCAATCAAAGAAAGCTTTTGGCTCATGGTAGTAGGTGAAGTGGTGATTATTTCAAATTATTTTTAATTAAAACTTATAATGGCCATTGTTTAATAGAAAGACTTTAGGGGTATGATCTCAGGAATATATCCTGAATAATTGTCCTCTATTTTATATATTAAAGGGGTTATATGGTTTTGTAAGAAAGGGGCAATTTCATTCTTTTGGTCTACATTCCTAGTCAGGGATTAAATTGTACATTGGACTGTTCCTGTTAGAGCTAAATCATCTCATTTCTTTATTATTTGGAGGGAGAGCTTAGATGTGTTGTTCACTGTCTGAAAGGGCAAGCAGCCTTGTTAATCTCCAGGAAAGAATAGTCCATATAGGAAAGTATGCCAGTGGGGTGCCCCTGACTATCTTTCAGATAAAAGGAATATCTAATATTATTTATTAGACATGATATGATGATGTACTGTTTTTAAAAATACACTGATTTACTGGTGTTAAAAATAAACCAATTTATGAAATATTTAGAATTAAAGGTAAATTAACACCATATGTAATACATAAGTAAAATAATGATTGGGACCATTTGGATGTGTCCTAATTCTTTTATGCTTAGAAGAAACATTTCTTTTCAAGATATATTAATTTGATGTAATTGGTTGATTGGGCTCAACAAGCCCTTGAATATATTTGAAGAATCATCTAATGTAACTAGTTTTTAATGCTCAAGACTTGCACCTATAATTCAAATTTCTTTTATCCAGGCTTGATTCCTATAAACCACCTCTTTATCTCTTGCATTTTTCTTCTGCCTGCTTAAAATCTGCTGATATTTCCCTTTAATTTCTATAAGTTGCTGAGATCAAGAATAACTAATATTTTCAAAAATCATCAAGTATTTTTAAAAGGAACAAGAATAAGCCAGTTTCTTATACTAGTATGTTGGTAGTATTGGTGTACATCCCGTAATTAAAATAGCTAAAGATAGCTTTTAGTATTTTATGTTTGTTGATCATATTATCCTACATTAGTCTATCTGGTCTTTCTTTGCACTTAACCAAGTCAGACCTGTTAGACATTTACTTTATTTGTTCCTTTTCACACTACTATGGTTTAATAAGATATTTTTCCTCTGAAAATACTATTTTCAATGTCCAAAAATTTCATTCTAAGTGAAGACCTGGCAACCTTGAAACATTTGAATGAAAATAAAAGCTATGAAGATTAAAGAAACCCCATCAATCCTATGTACCAAACAGATATTTGAGAAGAAGCTCACCAGTAAAAGAGGGGATTGCAATAATGAACATTTCCTAAGAGTGATGCCAGTGAATAACGTCAACTATGTGCAAGAACTACTGTAGTTTTGAGAGCTGCTTGCTGTGTGTCCCCAGATGAGTGCAGGCTTCCGCTGGAGAGCTTGAAGGGGGGCCTGGAGCATCCCACGCTGCTCAGAGGCCGTGGGAACAGTCCTGGGAGGATTGCTGCCACACATATTTTTGGCATTAAAAAATAGTACTTCAAGGGCATGTGCCTTGGTTGCGGGCACATCCCCAGTGGGGGGTGTGCAGGAGGCAGCTGATTGATGTTTCTCTCTCATCAATGTTTCTGGCTCTCTGTCCCTCTCCCTTCCTCTCTGTAAGGAATCAATAAAAATATATATTTAAAAAAAATAGTACTTAGCACGTGAACTACATTAGCAAACAGTGAAACAGAAGTAAAAATTCACCTTCATACCTGTCACCTGAGCAAATCATTATGTGTGATTCAGTTTTGTGAATAAAAGGAGAGGCAGTGATGTGGGTGGCGTGGGGTGGGCCAGCTATCATGACCGCAAGTTGATATGTGAACATGGCTCCATTTTATAAAATATTTGCTTCACTTGTGTTTGCAAGCTAAGTTTATTTGGTTGCGTTTTTAACCACAAAGACGGAAATCTGTGGTACTAGTCTTTTGGGGGACAGTGCATGTTTTGTTGGTTCCACTGTTTAGCAGCCAGACTCTACACTGATAAACAGAAAGCACTGTACCTGCCTTGTTCTCATGTAGTAATTAAGCTGCAGAGGGAAATCCCCTTTCCCCTTCCCAGGAGCATTAAGCTAAGCTTGAAAGCTGATTAAAAGATACTTAAGATTTTAACGTATGTTTTCCTATTTTTATAAATATATGCCTTGCCTTTAAATTATGTTTAGTGAAGTCAGTAAATTGTCTGTTCACCAAAATAATATTTTATACATTCAGTGGTTGACCACTAAGCCACGGGCATAGACTACATTTGCCTTCTCATGTAATGAATTTGTGTGGAAAGCAGTTAAACGGTGTCTTCAGGAGCTTGGTCATTTAAAGAATGCAGAGGAAATAGCATTAAGTGTCACAAAATTGTGTACCTTACTTATTTAAACCTATGTTTTCTGGGAATTTCTTGGAATGCATTTTCCCATAGAAGTAATATGAATATGTGTTACTGTGTTTTTAAAGCAGCAGAACCCCCCCCGCCCCACACACACACCCTATTATCCCCAAACAAAATCTTAGATAGGGCTCTACTTGATTTTCTTGGGGATCTTTTAATCTCCAGTTGTGTTAGCCTAAATAAGACATGGAATTTGTTATAAAGGTCTAGGTTATTTATGTACCCCAGAGGCAGGAATGCATGGAAAATCCAGAATGTCCTCTCTTTCCATCTCTTGCCTCTAACCTTTTCTCTGTATGTCTGCTTCTTTTTTTTCTGTTTCTTTCCCTGCAGAATTGCTTTCTTAGTTTACTAATCTACATGACAGAGAACAGAGCTGAGACTAGGGTGAGGTGAATGAGGTGCAAAATTTCAGAGAGAACCCAAAAATTCAGGATGGAGAGAAATAATATGTTAATGTAATATTTCAAAGTTAATGATGAGCACAATATCAAAATTTTTTAAAAAGGTAGGATTAGTATAAAAATAGCTCATTTAGTGAGTTGGTTTCCAAATAATAAGGGAATTTAATTTATCTTATGATTTCTTATTATAATTTTTGGAATGTCTGAAAAATATAAAGTTCAATGTGTCCTTTAATTTTGGATGATTTTAACTTTTAGGATACTTGTTCTTCATTTGCCTTGTTATTGGGTGAGTTTAAAAATATTTGAATTTCAGAAAGGTTAAGTTTTTTGTTACCTGTCTGTAATAATAAACATTCTTTTGCCATTTTAAAGTTCAAGTGACCATCTCTGTTAGTGTTTGTGTTAGGCTATAATAGCCTGGAGATGATAACCTAGATTCTGAAAGGAAACTGTAGCAGTGATAGGTTACTAAGAAAGTATCTTAGATAATAAAACAGTGTGCCTTGAATTATTCTCAGCCCCTGCCCTACTCAGTCATAATGGAGTCATTGAAAGTGATGCTCATTTTTAGGTTTGTCAAAACAAATTTGAAATAAATGAAAGTATAGATATCCTATTTTTTATAATTATAGATGAAGAAAGAAAACAAGAAATAAAAAATATAATTGTATGAATAATGTTAGAAAAAACCTGATGTTCAATAACAATGGGATACTGAAGCAAATTATGATATATCTATATGAATTACTATATAGCATACCCAATTGAGGGTTTGTATACACTATAACAAATACTATATTTTAGTCATATTGGAAACCATAGTTTCCTCTTTTGTACAAATCAGCAGAAATAGGCACAGCTTAACACATTCCTTTTATAAGTGTTTTTACCTTGTTATTGCTTTTCAAAATATAATTGAGGCAGAAGAGAACCTGCTTAAGATTTTCCAGGTTGGAATTAATTTTTCCACTTGAGTGTATTAGAAAGTAGGTGCTAGAGACCCTCTAATGAGAGTTGTAAAGCATCGTCATGGACCAGGTGCCAGACTATTCAAATAATTTAATTTTCTCTTTAGAGTTACACCAGTGATTGAAAACACGGGCTGTGAGGGGGGGCTAGAGGGTTGGGGTGAGATTAAATGAATATATAGGCAAGGAGCAATTTCAAGGTTGATAACTTCATCCTATTATATATTTCCAACTATGCTAATCCTAAAGCTCTTCTGAGAATCTATTTTCTATTTTCTACTAATTTTCATCCTCTCTGTATGTTATTTTTTAAATCTGGTTTTCAGAAATCTGCTCCTTGAATAGAAAATCATATTTCTGTAGACGTTTAACAAAGACATACTTTTTTAAATCTTAATTTCCCCAGTATTCATGTTTGGAAGGAAAGTAAAATCGCATAAATGATGAGTGAACTAGTACTTGTGGTTTAGAACTTTGTAGGTTTAGTTTATCAAATGTAAAATTTTCCCTTTGGCCGCCTGATGTTTTAATTTTTACTGTAGCCCTTAATTTAGCTATTGTTGGGTTTCAATAAAGTAAAAAAAAAAAACTTGAACACTTAACTTTTTGGACTATTGTTTATTAAAAGAGCATCCAGTCGGAATGTTATATCTCAATTGTAAAACTCCTTGGGAATCTAAAGGCCCAAAGGGTGCGTTTTTTTGCATTTAGCTCACTGTGCTTTTCTTTCATGTCTTTCTGTTCAGCTGGAATGCTTGCCAATTCTGCTGCAAACCTCTAGGCTGACCCTGCGGACCCCAGAACCCTGCTGGAAAATGCCGTCTGAACACTGCCTCAGGTGAGCCCGGCAGCATATGTCCTGCGTGGTGTAGTCAGCCCCCAGTCTTCACACTGCACATTCCAGGACCAAGTGCAGAGCAGGGGCGCAACACATATTTGAAGGAATTAAGCCATCCAGTCAGAGTGTGTGTGAGTTTCATATGGTAACACCAGGGCTAAGTGCTGTGATCTGGTTACTAGTCAGACCTAGACATGTTTCATCGTTCTTTGACTGATACTAGTTTTTATCTTTTTCTTATTTAGGATATTAACCTCCCTCAAACAAAAGGCATACTGCTATGAAGGTATATGATTTTAAAAAGTATTAGGCCCTGGCCAGGTAGCTTAGTTGGTTAGAATGTCATCCCCACATGCCATGGTTGCAGGTTCGATCTCCAGTCAGGGCACATACAAGAATCAACCAATGAATGCATAAATAAGTAAAACAACAAATCAATGTTTCTCTCTTAAATCAATAAATTTTTTTAAAATAATCAAAAAGTTATACATATATTTGACTGTCATCCTAAAGCAATCACTGGGGAGTGTGATACATATTCTTAAAATACTCATGACATTTTCTCTTAATAATTTACTTATTTAACATATTTATTGAGCCAAGCACCCTACTTGGTGCAGAGGATCCAGCAGTGAATAACATAGATGAGGTTACTGCCCTTATAAAATGTATATTCTATGGGCAAATCACACCAGGAATAATGCAAATGGCATTGTGAGAAGTGCTTTGGAGGAAGAGTACAGGATTGCTGGGATGAGGAAGTGCCTTCCTTAGGAAGTGCTCTATGATCTGAGTCTGCAGGTGGGATGACAAGGGGGAATGCCTCAGGCAGAATGGAGCTTGGCACATTCCCCAAACCCAGAGGCAGTCATTTAGAAAATGCAGGGTGTTCCTTTGAATAGTCTCAGTGGAGGCAAGTCTTCATCAGCCTCTGAGGAAACAAATGGATCTTCAGATCAAAGAATAAGAAAGGTGATAAACCTGGGAAATACCTTCTTTATAAAAATATTAAGAATTGGATTTGTCTATGAAATACTGAAACCAGCTTTCCTCCACAACTCTGAAGCTATTAGGGATTACCAGTTCCAAAAATGTGTTCCGAAATAGGCATTGCTGCTGATGGCATGGTGCCTCTGCACTCCCCAAGGGAATCTGCTGCTCTAGACCAGTGACTCTCTAGGGCAGTGGTTCTCAACCTTCTGGCCCTTTAAATACAGTTCCTCATGTTGTGACCCCCAACCATAAAATTATTTTCGTTGCTACTTCATAACTGTAATGTTGCTACTGTTATGAATCGTAATGTAAATATCTGATATGCAGGATGGTCTTAGGCGACCCCTGTGAAAGGGTCGTTCGACCGCCAAAGGGGTCACGACCCACAGGTTGAGAACCGCTGCTCTAGGGGGATGAGTTTGCCCTCAGGATACATTGTGCAAATACCTGGCAACATTTTTGGTTGTCACTCAGGGGCGGGGATGCTAAATATCTTAAAATGCATAAGATAACCTTCCCCTAGTGCTCTCCCCCATAGCAAAAAAAGAAAACAAAAACTGATCTAACCCAGAACATCGATTTCACTGACATGGAGAAATCCTGCTCTAGATTTGGCCTCCAGCCAATAGAGCACATAAAGACCATGGTATCTGTCTGCCACCACCTCAACCAAGTGCTTTATTTTTGGCTGCCAGGATCCACGTGCATTCTTCTGAAATGATTTTTTTTCTTTAAATCTGCCATCTCTGTTTTTACTGATCAACTCCCATTGCCATCTGTCCTCCACAGCACTATCATCTCCACTGTGGTCTTTCCTTCTCTGCTGAGACCCAGAGCCCTCTCTTCCCCACCTTTCAAACTTCCCTGCGTCCTGTGTAACTATTATCATCTCCCTCACCCTGAAAAACTCTCCACCTCCTGACTTCATTGAGACCCGCCCTCTCCTGAGGCATCACTTCTCTTGCAGCCCTCTCACGTGGCATTATTATTTCCTCACGTCTTGTGTGTTTTAGGGATGAGTAGAGAGATTGTTGTCACCCTGGGACATTGTTTTGCTTCGAGATCATTACTCTTCAAACTGGTTGTCTGAGAAAAAAAAACAACAACACAGCAAAACCCACAAAAACTTGCTTCTGAAGGTGGTGCTCTTTACCTCTCTCACCCTCACCTCCACTGCACTCTTGTCTGGGCCATTTCCTCATTCATTGAGCGTTTAGCACCTGGTCTCAGTCTTCTTCCTCATCATGAATCCTTTACAACTTCCCAGTGCTCTCAGCGTTTGCGTGGAGAATCTGTCCAACTTTGTGGCCTTGGATCTTCAACCTGCTTATCCCCGAAGTCCTCCCTTCACTGAACCACCCTCTCCCACACTCACACCTCGGACCTTGAATCTCCAGTAGTTGCTCTGTTTCTGAAACCACATCAAACACTTTACTCTTACCAGGACCACTCCTTCTGTGTCTCGCTCATAGCTACCTCCACCATGGTTGTACTTGGACCTCATTGCAGTGTCTCATCTACTGGTCCTGCTACTTTCTACAACCCATCAACCTTTTTGTCCCCTCATTTCCCTTCTCATCCAGTTGAGATTCTACCACTCTTTTAAATCCTTAATTTCTCTTGCTCCCTGCATTTCCAGTGCATTTCCCTGACAAAATCACAACTCAGATAAACCCAACTATCCAGGTCCTATGCAGATTGGTTCCCCTAAATCTTTAAATTCAACAAGTCCAAAATGCCCAGAGTTTTAATATGTTCTGGTCCACTTATCCCCTCTCTCCTGCCACCCAGAGGGCAGTCCTTTTCCATAGCGGAGCCCAGCCCTGCTTCTGTGTTTTGAATTCTATCTTTCTTATCTTCTCAGCAACCTTTGACTGTGGATTGTCTGTCAGCTATGTTCTGGAGACACAGCTGGCTGTGCTTCTATTCCCCTCTCTATGGAGACGAGTCACAGATTTACACCTCTAGCCAAGACCTCTTGCTGAGCTCCAGGTCCTGTACCATATCCTGCCTTGTCCTCAGAATTCTAGCCATTAACATTCTGTGTGAGGGTCATGCTCCCTCCTGCCACGGGATTATAGGACTTGCTGTTCCCCTCACTGGAAACCTCTTCTCTCTCCTGTTTGCTACAGCCCACAGCTCCAGCTGTACTTCAGGAAGGCCAAATTACTTGATTAATGTGTAACTGCCTTGCTAAACTGAATGTTCCACAAGGGGTGCTACCAAGCTTGGTGTGTTCACCATTTTATCTCCAGGACCTAGTGCAATACCTGGCACAGGATGAATAAATATTTCTGGAAGGAGCGTGTCATGAACATCATGCTCTGCATGTGACTTTTTAGCTTTTGCCATCAATTTCAGAATGAAAGTTAAAGACTCGAAGTCATGAATAGCCCTATTCCCTAAGACATCATTTATTTATCTCCCTGTTCCTGGCTGCTGACATATGGCCAATCAAACCGTTGCTCCCTGGCATCACTAAAAAGCAATCTGCTGCTCAGGGCATCTGGGGCTTGCCCTGCTGTAACCCAGAGTCTGGGCCCAGTGAGGTTCAGCAACAGCCATGCTCATCGGCAGCTCCACAGGGTGCCTGGTGCTCTCATAGAGCTCAGGTGGGAGGAAATGAGGGCCCCGTCTCCCTGGGAACCTGTACGCTGTCCAGAGGAACCATAGTGCAAAGCATATTTATGATTTAAATTTTTCAGAGTCACATTTTTTAAAAAGACAAAAAGAAACAGGTAAGATGAATTTTAGCTATATAGTTTAAGCCAGCATATCAAAAATATTTGGCCGCCTTTTTCCACACTACGTCTGGCATCCGGTGTGCGTTTTACACTTCCAGCACATCTCAACCAGGTCTGCCCTCACGCCCGTGGTCAGCAGCCACGTGCAGCGGGTGTTGTATTGGACAGCACAGTTCTAGGGGCTGCCTCTGGGAGGCTGCTGGGAGTGCCTCGGAGAAGCCAGCACCCTCTGCACTCACCTGGGAATTTTGAAGGGGTGGCATTACTTTCATGGAAGACCTTTCCCAGTTTTAGGAAGACACTCAAATCTGTGTATCCCTGGGAAATGTGCCTCAAGTTTTGGTCTTTTTCAGTAATTTAGGAAGTTTTAGGAATATGATTTTCCTACCTTCTTCTTTGTTCCCCACATACTGGGAAGGCATTACTCTGAGTGGGGAGGTTTAATGTGCTAATTTGGTATAAGTTATAGATGCCAAGGGAGCCGTTTGCAAGCATGTGTCTGCTCCCCACCTTAATGTAGTCATGGCACATTATAGTCTTTGCTTCACCTCCTCCTCGTTTATTTATCGTTGGCTTCAAAAGGGCCTGCCATCTTCCAGCTGTGTTCTGTGGCCACCCATGCCTTAACATTTAGAGGGTTGAGGTCTTTTGCAGATTTACATCTGAGAGTAAGTGGGAAGTTACTTTCAGACTACAATAATGGCTTGTTGATTAATAGACCTTTATTTTTTTTTGCCAAATGTTGCAGTATTTGTTTCTGCTTTGAAGAATTCCTAACATATTGGTTCCAAAATATTTGGAATCTTGAGCCAAGTTTTGCCTTAAATATTTAGCATGTTGTTTTCTTCAAGCTTGAATATTTCAAGCCCAGCTGAATGATGCTGCAAAATTGTGCAGCATCACAATTGTTTCAGAGCTAAGCCCTTTATTCTTGGGCAAATTTCAGTTTACAGCTGTTCTTTCCCTGGCAAGATTTATTCACTGTCAATTGATATCTGAAATTCAAATACTGACTCAGTCTTAATAAAAGGACACAAATTGTGGCACTATCTTTGGAAAATGAGTAAGGAAACATTTTAAGGCAATTATTTTAATATATTCTTCTGTTCCACTACAAATGAAACTTCAAAATACATTTATTAAGCACTTAAGATGATATTAAAAGGGAGAAAAGTTATGAGGGTTTCAGATAAAATTTTTAACGTTATAAAAAATCTATTCTCTAGTCTAAAACTTAGTTACAGTGCAAAGATAAATTTTTTGAATCATGATTTCAAAAATTTCTTATCACATGAATATGTTCATGTGTATTATTTTTAAAAAGCAACTTTGATTTTGCAATTAACCATACATAATATAAATATAAAATTACTACGGACCTTGTGATGTTCTTTCCTTGCAATCATAGATACTTAATGTCTTTTTTATAGATTATCACATTTTTTGTTTTGTCTTTTTTTGTTTCTTTTGTAAGCAGGAGGATGAATTTACATTATTGTGTTGTTGGTGATAGGTTCTCAAAATGCCTGATCTTAGACCTTCAGCTTTATCTGTAAAACAGTGATAATGATAGTATCTGCCTCATAGGATTGTTATGAATGTTAAGTAAATTAATACTTATAAATCACTAAGAGTAATTCATGGAACATAGTAAGAGCTTTGCGTTTGTAAAATATATCAAAATGTTCTTTCATTTAGGAGAGATTTTTTCAAAAACTATTTTAAAGCTTTACTTACATGATACAACATTTCTGTTACTATTGTATTCCTTCATTTCTTTAATTGAGCCATGCTAATTAACCTCCATTTTAGGCTTTGCATAGAAATTTGTATTGAAAAGTTATTTATGCTTCTGAATGCAGTTTTCAATTGCTGATATAAAAAGTCTGCCGATAGCTAAAGCCACTAGAAGATGAATATTTGATGACAGTAACCATTTCAAAACCCACTGCTGCATTTCAACTGAAAATAATCCTCCCACCTTCCCACGAGAACTTCCTATGTCATCACCTCCTGTCAAGTTCTTTTTCTTTCAACGGTTCTGACATTTCGGAGGCTCCCCAGTCAGAAGTGCCCAATGCAGCTGACTGGCTACACTCCGGCGTTTCACAGGAAGCATTGGCTTCCATTTCAGGTGGTGCGATTTGTGCTGAATCGTAATCTATCAGCCAACTGGAACCACAGGCTGGGCAGAGTCACTCAAATACATTCATCATGCAGTGTGGGCCAGTGGTTACTCCCTAAGTCCTCCGAGAGGCTCTTTCCCACTCAGAGGGAGAGACTGGAGGCAGGAGTTGTCAGGATAGGAGAGACAATGCTCAATCATCCATGTGGTATCTTTCCTCAGCTTGATGAAGAGGGTGCAGACCTGAAACGGGTTGATGGTCCTTGGTCTTGTTCTGGGGGTAATTTGTGACTGGTGCCACTCCCCTGTCTTAGTCCAGTGCCAGTTCTGAGGGTTAGAGCGCTGCGGAGATTTTCATACATCTGAGCTGGAATTGTTCATAGCTGCCTGCAAATGCCGTTTGCATTGTGTGTTTATGGCATTACTTACACATTATTTTAAGACGATCAGGGGTTTCGCCTAGGAGTTTTGAAAGGATATGGGAAGATTATTTTAGAATGGGGTAGGGAATGAAGGGGGAAAGTTTCACAATGGATAAATTTAGCAACTTCGAAAAACAGAAGAGAAAATAAAATTGTATAGTCATTCATAAATCTAGTTCAGTGATCACATAGAGACATTGGTGGCTGAAATTGTAGCTATATTTTACTTTCAGCCTTAAATGTTTTTCACTTACAATGGCATTTCCTTTCATGTTCATAATTTCCCAAGTTAAATAATAAGCAGCTGTGGTTGAATTAATTGCTTTTTGCATGGAATGGTCACTGGCAGCCCTGTTTTCTCTTACTGGCATTTGCTTCATTCTGTTTTATTTACTAACTAGAGGCCCAGTGCATGAAATTCGTGCGGGGGCGGGGGGGGGGGGAGTGTCTCGCAGCCCGGCCTGCACCCTCTCACAATCTGGGACCACTGGCTCCTAACCGCTCACCTGCCTGCCTGCCAGATCACCCCTATCCACTCTGCCTGCCTGCCTGATCACCCCTAACCACCTCTGCCTTGGCCCCCACCACCGTGGCTTTGTCCGGAAGGACGTCCAGATGGATGTCTGGAAGATGTCCGTTCTAATTAGCATATTACCCTTTTATTAGTATAGATGGAGTACTGTGTGCTGTGAGGGACTTAGTGACATCCTGGACCTCTGGTGAGTCAGGCAGGTCCAGTGGATTCTGTGCTCGACCAGTGCATGGCTGTGACCTTGCTCTGAGCGTGTGTGTCCTCAGAGGACAGAGGAGGTGCAAAGCTGAGAAAGAAGCAGAGAGTTCGGGAGGGGTCATGGAGTGGACAGGGTCACCTGCAGACATGCACAGTTTGGATGCACTTTCACTGAGATGTGCAGATACTGAGGACAGAGGCTTAGAAGCAGAGGCTCACAGGCCCACAGACATGGGTCAGTGCACAGACACAGGTGGACACACACAGACATGATTCAGAAAGAGAAGCACGAGTAGGAAAGAAAAAGAACCCTGAGGGGGTGAAGAAAGAGAATTCTAGGAAAGGAGAGCAAGAGCATGGTGGAGAGAAAGAAAACGGGGAGTCCAAAATCCCACTCTAGTACGCTGGAGCCCCCATTTCCCCATCGGTGTTGAGGGAGTGAGGCACGTGGGGCAGCCAGGGCTGGTGGAGGACGCATGCTGACTGGATTGCTCTCCATAGTATTCAAGAAATGCTGACAGGCCAGAGGCTCTGCCACTCGGAATCTCACAATGACAGTGTCCTGGCAGCACTGAATCAGCAGAGGAGCGATGGCATGCTCTGCGACGTCACCCTGATTGCGGAGGAACAGAAATTCCATGCTCACAAGGCCGTCCTGGCGGCATGCAGCGACTACTTTCGGGTAAGTCCAGGTTGTTTGTTTCTCTTCAGATGTCAATTAAACAGAGGATGATAAAATTTCCTGAAGTGTCACACAACCAGCAGCCAATTAGATGATAGTTCTCAGAGTTGTAAGTGTTGGGGGCCTCCCCTGGGCAGAATGAGATGGGGCCCTATTGGGATCCTCCCTCGGCTGCATATCTGGATGTCCCTCCTTTGTGTCTGAGTTGAGGGGCATTTAACATTTGACCACCCTAAGAAAGTGTGGCATTGTAGTGCTTCATCATAGGGGGTGTGAGTTGGGGTTAGGATGTTTCTAGATTCAGGATCAGAAGGGGAATCTGAAAACAATTTGATAAAATAAACAAAGTCCCTAAAGATATGTAATGCTTCTGATTTTGTTTTTATGCATGTTCTAGTCTTAGTGTTTTCCAATATTTACTCCAGGAACAGAAATGCAATTGGCCTCATGGACCTTTTTGGTTGATATGTGTGTCCATAATGGCTGAAGAAGACATGTTGTCTTGTTTAGCAGGACTCTGGAGTTTGAGTTCTAGTGGCGAATGAGATGTGGTGACATGCTTGTTGTTTTGAAGATGAATGTGTACAGTATGGTTATAGCTAGTTGAATGCCATCTATTTAGTACTTCAGGTGATTCAGGCACTCCTGTGATTCAGGTGGTGGAAAAAGGATTTTATATGCATACCTCATTTAATCCTCCTAACAACCCATTTTACAAACACATACAAGTGCTATAAAAATCAACATTTTTCATATGGAAACTGAATCTTAGAAGTTAAGTAGTCCTATATAATAAAAGCCTAATATGCAAATTGTCCCTTTGACTAGGAGTTTGACAGGGAATTTGACCAGGGGGCAGGGATGGCCTGCCAATCACCTGCGGCCCCTCCCCCGGCCAGCCCCACCCCTGATCAGCTCCTCCCATGGCCCACCAACTGCCCAATCACCCTTCCCACCCCAATCAGGGGCAGGGCCAGCTGGCCAACTGCCTGCGGCTCCTCCCCCTGGCCAGCCCCGCCCCTGATTTGCCCCCCCACCCCAATCGGGGGCGGGGCTGGCCAGTCCCCACACATGCATGAATTCGTGCACCAGGCCTCTAGTTTTAGATAACTCAGAGGTTAAGTAATAAGTCTCATAGTTTCTAAGTAAAATTAACATATGGATGTAAGAAAAAAATCTTGATAATCATTAACCAGAATATCCTATATAATAAAAGGGTAATATGCAAATCTACTGAACAGAACAAGCAGAACGAATGGCTGCTATGACATGCACTGACCACCAGGGGGCAGACGCTCAACACAGGAGCTGCCCCCTGGTGGTCAGTGTGCTCCAACAGGGGGAGCATTGCCAGTGTCCTAGGCAGTGCTGAGGATGTCTGACTGATGGCTTAGGCCCACTCCCCGCAGGGCTAAGCCATCAGTCGGACATCCCCCAAGGGCTCCCAGACTGTGAGAGGGTGCAGGCCAGGCTGAGGGAACTCCCCTCCCCCACCCTGAGTGCATGAATCTCATGCATCAGGCCTCTAGTTTTTAAATATTAATTTCTGAATATACATTATTTAATTCTTATTTAATTTTCTTTTCAATGCTGTTTTAGTTGATAATTTCAAAACATTACAGTGTACAATCTATATAAATGAGAATATATATATATGCATGAATTTTTAAAATTTTCTTTATGAAATTCTCAAAAATGATATAGAAACCAACTTAGGCACATGGGCAATTTGTTGGTTTGATTTGTATATTTCCAATAATCTTGTTTTTTATGATTAAGAGACATATTAACTGCACTCAATTGTGAACCAGCAGTTAAAGAGAATTTTCAAAGATGCCAAATCATAAAAGAAAGACTTTTAGAAAAAGTGTTTTAAGTGTGGTAAAACCTAGTAATGTAGAGGATAAATAGATAATTACTTAAAATGTCTATCTAAAATAAAAAGTGGGGATTTAATTATAGATTGCAGCAATGAAGCAGAATATCTGAAAAGTGACCTTTAGTTGCATTAGTATAATGATATATTTTATACACTCTCAAATTGTTGGGCATTAATCTTCCAGAAAGTTTACATTAATCAGAGGATGTTTCAAACAACATATTTTGAATTGTAATATATAACATGTGCACATTATATAATAGGAGTCCTGTCTTCCTGTGTACCATAATATAACTGTCTTGGTGCTTAGCTGCTCTCCTCTGAAGTCTCTCCTGATTGGGTTTTTAATTTGATTTTGGGAAATGGTTTGATTTGTGCATGTGTGTATGTGAGCCAGTGCATGCATGTGAGTGCAAGAGAGCATTTTCCTTGTTGGCATTTAATAGTGTTTGTTGTTACTCCCAGTTCTTCATCTCTTCCACCACAATGCCCCTGATACCCTGGTAGGTTAGACACAGAAGGCCTCTTTTATAATACCTGTGTTATAATGCCTGTGAAGAAAGCTTTATTGTTCCCATTCTGCAGATAAGGAAGCCAAAGTGCAATATGTGTAAATATCCTGCCCAAGGACTGCCAGACATTAAGGAGAAGAGCTGATTTTCACACCCCAGAGCATCTGTCTCCTTGAGTACCAAGTGTGCTTTCTCCACTTAACCACATGTCCTACTGGGTTCATACACAGTTCCTTCAATGTCATCACCTATTTGTGAGATGAAAATTAAGTGACTTGTGTATTGATTGTTCTGATCAATAAATTGAGACAAAGTTGGAACAATTGTCACAGTCTGAATAGTACAGTCCATAAAAAAAATAAATTTTTTAAATAATGGGTAGTAAGTATGACTGTCCTTTACTCTGGAGAGAGACATTATTATACTGGCCAGGAAGCATGCCTACCCTTTGCTCTGCAAAGAGAATGGTATCTTCCAGGATTGTAAGCAAGACTGCCTTTTGCTCCAAAGGGAAAACCACTCTGTCATTCAAACCTCTTTGCTATAGAAACATCTTTGAAAAGAGAGTTCAGAACAAAGGACAGTCAGTGCCTCGCTCTCAATACGTGCATAAATGCAAGAGACCCGTGGAGGACCGTCTCCCAACAACCACATGCCCTAACTAACATTATGTTTGTGTTTCTTGTGTCTTATGCACTGCCACACTGAGATATCTGGAAGCGGTATCCTGTTTTAGGATTTTCTGTATATTTCACAAGCCTTATAATGTTGCTTCAGGCTTAGTAACTGCTCAATTAATATTTATTAAGTGAATGATGTTTTCTAATTGTCATAGAATTTATGTATATTTCAATTCTTAATATCCTGCATATGAAATATGCAAATTATTCATGGATGGTTTCTTCTATGCGATCTGTTCAGGTTAATTAAGTACTTCGATGTAAATAGATTTTTGTACTCTGTATTCTGATATCTGGCAGATTATTTTGAAACTGAAGTAATGGTTCTGATTCAGGAGAGGTGGGGCTTGCAAAAGTGAGGAGAAGGCCCCAGTTTTTACATAAACAGTTCCTGTACATTGATCTGAGAGTTGGCATCAGCTTTTCTTGATTAAAATATGAGTAATGAGTAGTTGAGCATAAAATACTGTGACTTCTTGTGATCATCAACATTTTAAAAGGAAGGGTGAAAACAAAGTCTTTGGCCAAGTAATAATGATTTTTAAAATAAGGTTTAATATTAGTGGTGTGGGCTGAACATGGCATTTGCCAAATGCTATAACTGAGCAGACCAGAGACTTTTTAAATAAGAATGTAAAGCAGTGGTGGAAGGAAGGAAGGGAGGAGCTTATGAATCAGGTCTGAGTTTGAATGCAGCGGCAGGGACTGTGTTCACCAGTTTTTCCCAATTCCTGACAAATAGTAGGTGCTATTCTAATTAATATTGGGTTATTCACTCTCTTTACTATCTATTCTTTGATCATAGACACGTCATCTTACTTCTGTGAACCTACGTTTTTTCATTTGTGAATAGATGATCATAAAGCACAGCTCTCAGAATGGCTTGATATAGAGATTTAAATGATATATTGTAATGCACTAAGCGCTGTATCTGACACAAAGAAGACCTTCAGTGAACACTAGCTGTTTCACTCCTTGCACTAACTTGCAATTTCTAGCCATGCTCTGCCTATTTGTAGGAAAAGAAAAGAGTTCATACTTAGGCTCACCTAATTACAGACTCATTTACCTTTTGATGGGTGAGAATAACTTTTTGGTTGCATCCTTTATCATCTTTTCATTTCCTGAATCTGACACCTCCTTCCTTCTTGTGTAGAACATTCTAGTAGCCATCTGACATTTCTCCTCCTTTGGTTGCACCTTTGCTAACCATTGTGCAGACGACTGTGTGATTACTTTCGCTGCCCTGCTCAGGTCTTCCAAAGCTCCTCACTCCCAGTCTGCCAGGCTCCTGGAGCGAGCCTTCATGCTGTGCCATCATCATTATCCTCATCTTTGTTCTCCCACCTGTTCATTTGATGTTGCAGCCAGACTGTTCTCTAAACACACTGTTTTCCACCTGAGGGCCTTTGCCCTTCTCAGCCTTGCTAATAACTATTTCTTCCACCTGGAACTCCTATTCCTTTCTTAGTCCCTGGGCATCTACCAAGGTATACCACAGCCAACAGCAGGTGTGAAGTCCTTCACAAAGGCTTTACCCTCTGCCATCGCCCTAAATTCATATGCAAGTCCCCCCTCCTCTGAAACCTTAAAGCTAGCTTGTCTCCCTCAAGGAATTAAAATGCAACCTATGGAATGGGAGAAAATATTAGCAAAAGAATCCAATTAAAAAATGAGCAGAGGAACAGAATAGACATTTTCCAAAGAAGACATACAGATGGCCAACGGGTACATGAAAAGGTTCTCAATGTCACTAATCATCAGGAAAATGCAAATCAAAATCACAATGAGATAGCACATCACATGTATTAGAATGACTATTATCAAAAATATAGGTGATAACAAATGTTGACAAGGATGCAAAGAAAAGAGAACCCTTTTATTTGTTGGTGGGAATGTAACTTCATGCAGCCACTATGGAAATGAAAG